CTTTTTGGGGGAAACCAAATTTTTTCCCACTAAAAATTTTTTTGGGTGTTTTTGGGGGCCCGGGAATTTTTCCAAGTTTTGGGTGGCAGGGTTTTTTTTTTTTTTTGTTTTTGGTTTTTTGGGGCGGGGAAAAAGCTTGAATTTTGGGTGGGGAAGGTTTTTGGGGGGAAGGGAAATTTGGGTGACAGGGGGGGGGTAGGAAAAAAAATTTTTTTTTTTTTGGAAAGGGGAAAAATTATTTTTTTTTGTTAGGTGGTTTTTGGGGGTTTTTTTTTTTTTTTTTGGTTGGCCCCGGGAAAAGGGCTGGGGTTCCGTTTTGGGTTCAAGGGTTTTTAAGAAAAAAATTCCGTGAAATAGGGGGCTTAAGGGTTGTTGTTTTTTTTTTTAGGGGGGGGGGGGGTGGGGTTTTTGTGGGCATTTTTTTTTTCCGGTTTCCCGATTTTTTTTTTGGTTTTTTTAACGAGGGATAAAAGGGCAGGGGGCCCCCCCCGGCAAACCCCCCTTGAAAGGAAACCCCCGATGGTTTTTTCATTTTTTTTTGGGGGCCCCCCCCCCCCCCCCCTGGGGTGGTACTATTGTCCCGGCGCGCAACGAAGTCAGCCCAACCCGCGCACGGAGAAGACCTAGGGTGTGGCATGGTAGGCTACAGAACGCGGCACCACGTGAGGACCTACTATTTTCGGCCGACGCTCGGGCACAGCACCCCCACGGCGGCTACAATATGAGGGTTTGATGTAGGCTTCTTACTAAGCACCTGTTGTTCGTATTGCCAAGCTCTTAGATTTTGTTGAGGCCGAAATTCTCCAATGGTGAGACCTTAAGAGGTGGCGCGTTCTGTATCTGTAGAGTGCGCCACCACGAAGACATACCATTGTACTCCTGCTCCCGTTTTCTCCATTTGTAAACCTCCCCCTGCCGCGGGCGTTTCATTATCTTCACTTCAGGTAGCCCAGTACAAGCTGGCCATGTCTGTCTTCGTTGTTCCCGCTGTAGTCGCGCTCGGGGCCATGACTCTCACCAAGGGCCCGCTGGAGCTAAGGGCCGGGTTTAGCCTCCTCGTGTCCCCGGCCTGGCTCTGGATGACGGTCCGCTGGCTGGAGGACGGCGTGGCCTGCCTCAACGCCTGCGTGGAGCTGTCGACGCTCCTGATCCGTAAGGGGCAGTTGAGAGAGGGAGCATGCCAGAGCTGCCCAGGGCTGTGGTGTTTCAGTTTTTTCCACCGTAGTGAATTGAAAGAATGTGTTGGCGCGGTTCCCTCTACAATGCTCTCCGATCGATCCAAATCAGTCTTTAGCGCTGTGTGTGGTGCCAGACCAATCGAGAGGGGTGCGCACTGCCGGGTGGAAACCCCTGGCGTCTTCGCTTTCGCGAAGGAAAAACGTCCTTGTTAATTCCACGGCGCCTTACAACCTCCGCGGTCGACACGCTCACGTCCCACCACGAAAGACAGGACGCCGCGATAGTTGAATACCCATCTGGTGTCGTTGTTGTAAGTGTGATTGTCGCTCCGCTGCTGTCCCCACCCTTTTCTTGTTTTTTCATGGTGTATCACAACCAACCCATCTCTCTCGCTCTGTACACCGACAAGGGTCTAGGACAAACTAGCAATGACTTCGTAGCGTTAACGGAGCTGTTTTTGTGTTTCGATGATTCCCCAATTAACACAATAATATCTCATCTGCCGTCCCCCCGTATATTTGGCGGAGAAACTGCGCGACGTGCGCCGGGGGCGGGAAGCGAGGGTCAAGGCCACTGCGGAAGAGCACAGCCTCCCATCCCCAGAGACCCTCGAGGCCGACGACCCCGCCCGCTACAAAACCCGCCTCTTCTGGAGGTACTTCAGCCCCAAGCGGAGGAGGAACTTGGAGTGGGGAGAGGTGAGTTCTAGTACCGTTTTTTTTGTCATCCGCTCTGTGTACCGTCTTCCTAGCGGAACATGGAGATGGAAGGGGGACAGGTGAATTCCGAAAGTGTTTGGTTAAAAGTTCTACCGTTTTTTTAACTCCGTGTATGTTCCCCCTCCATAGCAGAAGGCAACGGGGGATGGATTGGGGAGAAGCGAGTGATGGTACGTTTTTTTCTGTCATGCCGTCTACGGACCACTTTCCAAGGTGAAAAGGAAGAATATGGAGTGGAGAAGTGAGTTCTACCTTTTTGTTTCTTCAGTCCTTCTTATGTACCCGTTTCCACGCGGAAAATGAAGATGGGGCGGGAATACGTGAAGCCTACTTTTTTTTCGTTAATCCCGTCTATCCCCCCCCACCCGTGAGCGGCAGGGTCTTGACGGTCTCACGTATTTTGTTTTCCTGCCGCGAGGAGGCATTTGTGCTGCCCAGTTTCATTGGTGGCTTGCTTGTTATGGTGGCAGTATCATGAGGACAGTGCCATGTATCTCAACTGCTGGGTTGCGGTTGCCGTGCCGTGTGTCGGATTGCCCTTTTCTTTTGAGATGACGGTTTTGTGAGGAAGATATGCATCGGCGGCTTGGGGGAACTAGGCAGTTTGGAGCGAACTAGAGGCTCAAAATATGAAACATGTCGTAAGGGCTGCACTGCAACACGCGTGTGGTGATGATTCCCGGCTGTGACTCCTGTTATATTCTGATCCCTTACCCAGATCATTCGATGTAAGTATTAGATTTGGTTGGGTGAGGCCTCCTGCGCCTGCAGGAGGGCCTCGCCACAAGTAACCTTTTGGGCTGGGTGTGCCCAGGCCCAAAGTGTTCGAATGATCAGTAAGTTCATGAATATAGTAAGCATTGTGTAGGGCGGGTGGGATGGTCTCAAATGTAACCCTTCTTCTCTGCTCCGGCGTATTTCGGGAGAGAAAAGGGGGACTAAACTAGGTGGGGTCATTTTCCAACATCCTCTCTGGAATATCTGACTCTTCCCGATTTCGTTCCGAAATCTAGATGCGTCTCAAATCCGAGATTCTGTTGTATTCTTAATTGTTTACCCAGATCATTCGATGTAAGTACTGGGTTTGGTTTGGTGAGGCCTCCTGCGCCGGCCTGTGGTCCCGCCCATTACTTTCTTGTTGATTATCCGATCTG